TGCAATAAGGAATAACAGTAAATCTTATATTTTTTGTGTGAATAAAAATTACAATTTATATAATAATAATAATATAATAATAATAATAATATGTATAATAATACGTATAATAATAATAGTATAATAATACAATACAATAATAATAATACAATACAATAATAATAATAATAATACAATACAATAATAATAATAATACATATATAATAATATACTACATATAACAATTATAATAGATGGCTTCAAAAGGCTGTCACTAGATGGTAGTGTTTACCACAACAAAGAGGGAGCGGTTGTGGCTGCCTCCACCTGTTACATAACGACATTTTATTCATTCTAGAGTATATATCACGTTTCTATGTTATTTTTATTGTTTGTTATGTCATATTAGATGAACTGTGATATATAAATAAGCCATATAGATGATATTAGCAAAATTATTCATGAAGTACTATTTTGCCCGGTCTCCAGACAAACTCTCGTCCACCGCCCTTACCACTACATGAATGACATTTTATTAATTCTAGAGTATATATCATGTTTCTATATTATTTATATTGTTTATGTCATATTAGATGAACTGTGATAGATAAATAAGCCGTATAGATGATATTAGCTAAATTATTCATGAAGTATTTTGCCCAGTCTCCAGATAAACTCTCGTCCACCACTGACACCGCACATACCACCACATGAATGACATATTTTATTAATTTTAGAGTATATATCAGGTTTGTATGTTATTTATATTGTTTATATTGTCATATTAGATGAAGTGAGATAGATAAATAAGTCGTAGAGTTGATATTAGCGAAATTATTGAAGTACAGAATTCCACTGGAACGGATTAATTGCATTTCAATTAATTTAAATGAGGAAAATTGACTCTGCAAACGAGCAAATCCAGTTGCGAGCAAGGTCATGGAACAGATTAAACTCGCAAGTAGAGGGAAAATTCCTAGGTATCCACCTTGACAGTAGCCTTGAGTTCCGGACACACATACAACAGATCACCAAGAAAATCTCCAAGACTGTAGGCATACTATCAAAGATAAGGTACTACATTCCACAATCAGCTCTCCTGGCACTGTACCGTTCACTCATATACCCTTATCTTACATATGGAATTTGTGCATGGGGATCAACAACATCCAATCACCTAAAACCCCTAATAACCCAGCAAAAGGCAGCAGTAAGAATGATAAATTCCCACTCCCGCCAGCATACTCCACCAATTTTCAAAAGTCTGAATCTGCTTACCATTAAGAACATCCATACTTATTCATGTGCGTACTACATACACAGAACAATACACGCAAATATAAACCCCCCACTCAAACTTTTCCTCACCAACCTAAACAGGATACAGGACCACAACACAAGACAGATCTCTTTTTGATATACCTCGTGTCCATATCACACTGTGTAAAAACTCTATGTACATAATGGGCCCCAAAATATGGAATTCATTACCAGAAGATATTAAAGTAACCCAGTCTGAAAATCAATTTAAGACTTCTCAAAAGCCACTTAAATACCCTAGACTAAATGCTAAATACTCAGTTCACATTTACTCACCTATGTACTCCCACATCATAACTGAAACTATCACATTGAACCTTTTATCCATTGTTGACAGGAATATAATTGAATCATTGTTTTTCACAAAAGCATTTTAGAATATAAATACGTATATCTTTGTATTATACATATTTTGATTCTTTTATAATTAATATTCTACTGTACAACTATGAAATAATTACTTTCCTACTGTACAAATATGATATACTATTCCTTAGTATTAAGTAGAATGTAAGCCAATAATGTTAAGTTGGCCCATAATGCCAAGGCATAATAGAGGCTCTCTTTGCATTGCAACCCACTATTGTACATACACAATCTCAATGTACTGTTTGCAAAGACATTAAATAAATATATAAATAAATATTAATTTTTGTACTGAATTACATAGTGAAGAGGCAGGGCCAGGAGCTTGGACTCGACCCCTGCCACCTCAACTAGGCGAGTACATGACAACTTTACCTATGATAGCAATACATTTATACTGATTGGTTGGTTTACGCTTAAGGCTTATTGACAATACACAGGTCCTTAGGGTAGCATGTTACCTGTATATCAGTATATGGTGTAAACCACCAGTGTACTCTCAGCCTACATATACAGTTTATATACCTCCTCGAAAGGGTTGGAAAGAGGGGGTAAAGGAGGTTTTGTGGGCGAGGGGCTTGGACTTCCAGCAAGCGTGCATGAGCGTGTTAGATAGGAGTGAATGGAGACGAATGATACTTGGGACCTGACGATCTGTTGGAGTGTGAGCAGGGTAATATTTAGTGAAGGGATTCAGGGAAACCGGTTATTTTCATATAGTCGGACTCGAGTCCTGGAAATGGGAAGTACAATGCCTGCACTTTAAAAATAGGTTGGATAAATACATGAGTGGATGTGGGTGGGTGTGAGTTGGACCTGATTAGCTTGTGCTACCAGGTCGGTTGCCGTGTTCCTCCCTTAAGTCAATGTGACCTGACCTGACTAGGTTGGGTGCATTGGCTTAAGCCGGTAGGAGACTTGGACCTGCCTCGCATGGGCCAGTAGGCCTTCTGCAGTGTTCCTTCGTTCTTATGTTATGTTCTTATATGTTGTGTATCTTTATACGTATATGCTTCTAAACTGTTGTATTCTGAGCACCTCTGCAAAAGCAGTGATAATGTGTGAGTGTGGTGAAAGTGTTGAATGATGATGAAAGTATTTTCTTTTTTGGAGATTTTCTTTCTTTTTTTGGGTCACCCTGCCTCGGTGGGAGATGGCCGACTTGTTGAAAAAAAAAAAAAATACCAGTACCTTATATTTCCCTACATTGAGTCTCCTCTACAAATGAATGTTGTTATAAAAACTATTAAGTACAGTACTCCCTTAATAACTGGAAAGCTGTGTAATTTACTGAGGTTCCTTATGTTGTTATAAAGGAGAACACTGTAACTATAATGTATATTGCAAAACATCTCTAGCACAAGCTTACAATACTAGCACTAACATACAAGCCTACCGTGGTTGAAGCCTCAGCATTTAGTTGACTGTATTCTGGCAGGTTAAGCAAGCAGAGCATTAATTTGGATTTTTGCCTATGCTGCAAATTTTGTTTCCCTATTGTCTTTTTTTTTCTTAAATCGGTTACCATATATTTCATGTTTCATAGAGTGTGGACGGTTTATAGCAATGCCAGTGTTCTAACCAACATTTCCAAATTACTGATCAGTCAGAAGTATATTTTCCTACTGGCGAAGATTTCTCTCAAACACAAGTTTTGTTAATTTATTACCAAGCACTAATATAACCCAATTTATGTTCAGACAAACCTAATTTAGTGTCAGATAAATCATTGGTGATGTGAAAATTTGTAGACATGGGTTGAGAGTTTCATGCGTAATTTTTGCAATACATATACAGTACAATGGTGTATGCTTTAGTAGAGGAAGTAGTTTACATAAACCTCTGCACACACGAGAAAAACCTTATTTATTTTAGTCCCTATATAAAAGGTGCCAGACAGAACACCAGGTTTATAGAATTACATACTCAAACACCATCACATATGCTAGCACAGCAAATTCTTAAATTAATAAGTACCTTACTTTCCTGTCCAAATATGGCATGAAACTATTAAGGTTTAGTTAGCATAGGAAGTGCACATCTTATCTGGAGTTTATCTGGAGAGAGTTCCGGGGGTCAACGCCCCCGCGGCCCGGTCTGTGACCAGGCCTCCTTAGGTCAGTGTCCCAGGATGTGACCCACACCAGTCGACTAACACCCAGGTACCCATTTTACTGATGGGGAACATAGACAACAGGTGGAAAGAAACACGTCCAATGTTTCTACTCTGGCTGGGAATCGAACCCAGGCCCTCACCGTGTGAAGCGAGAGCGTTAACCACCAGGCCACCAGAGCCTTACCTAGTCTGGTTTTAAAAAGATTTTCCTCTGGATGCTCATAATGATTCATCCACAATAATGTTTATTAAATAAAAATTGCCAAGATGTAGAGTAGCCTAGAGGACCAGACCAGATTATTATCATTAACAGTTAAGACATGGTTATCACAGCTGCACTTGTGATTATAATAAGGTATTCATGTTACAACTGTTTCAATGTAAAAATTTTGGTAGAATACCAACAATATGTTAGGTAAAATGACATATTCAAATATGTATCTCACACTGCTACATATTAAAACACTTGTTAGGTGAAAGTATACATGTGCAATAAAGCAACATTTTATTGTGGCAACGTTTCGCTCTCCAGGAGTTTTGTTAAGCAGTTACAAACAATCCATGGACACAGTTATCCTCAGCACTTCACTGTGTCTATATACTGTTTGTAAAAACTTAACTCCTGGAGAGCGAAACGTTGCCACTATAAAACACTGCAATAGTTGCACATGCATAATTTTACCTAACAAGTATTTTGGTATATATAACTGTGAGTTAGAGTAAGTGAGGGCAGTGTGGGGCCCAGAGCTGCCACCTCCACCACACACCCTCCCAACATCGATCTTCAAACACGGAAATGCACTCAAAACCAAACAAATATCGGCCTTAAAGTGATACATTTATCAGTTTACAATAGTATACAGTGTTTAAGGATAGTATAGAGGAGAGTAGAGAGTATAATTTACCATGTTGAGGCGAGGATGGTGAGTGTGAGCACCAGAGGTCACAATACTTGCTGGCTCTCACGTGCAAACAATTTCCTGCTGGGAAACACTGCCTCTACTTATTACTTTGAGCAGGAGTATTACAGCAGTGTAGACACTGGTGGCCAGCCACACCTGACACACTCACCACCCAGACAATATGGAGGCTGGAGGTGGAGTGTTGGGGGAACCAGAACACACCAGAAACACACTCCAAGGAAATTTCAAAACAAGAGTGTTGGTGGTGGTTGTAGTGTGTCATCTTACCTGCTCTCCTCACCCTCTACAACACTCACCTACACTCTCCGGACATCCACTGGCTGATACCTCACTTTGAACCAATAAGTACACAGCCTAATGCCGTTCTGGGTCCCAGAAAATCGGGATAAATAAGGTTTGGCGTCCCGAGATGTAAGACGTTCAATCCATACGCCATGAAAATTTCGGTTTGAAACTGGTACAAACCGGATCCCCGGGATAAGCTTTTGCAATATTTCTCTGCTCTTTTCAGCTTAATTCACCTCTTTTGCACCCACTACAGCCCCTCTTTATTGCCCGCTGTGCCCCAACATGCAGGGATACATCAGTAAGGTCGTGTTTATCGATGAAATAAGTGGTTTCTTTGTACCAAGACGACATCATAAGCATGTGTAGTCTTCCCGCGTTTCATCAGGGATTGTGATTGGCCAGTGGGAGGCGATGGGGGCCAATCAGAGGCGATGTTGCACGCCACTAAGCTTCCTTCACACTCCACCTCCATGGCGGGAACATTTAAACAACACCTCGTACACCACGCCACACCTTATACCTCACACCACACCTTATACCTCACACCTTGTACCTCACACCACACCTTATACACCACATCTTATACCTCACACCACACCTTATACCTCACACCTTGTACCTCACACCACACCTTATACATCACACCACACCTTATACCTCACACCTTGTACCTCACACCACACCTTATACCTCACACCACACCTTATTACCTCACACCTTGTACCTCACACCACACCTATAAAATCACATCTTATACTCACACCACACCTTTTTACATCACACCACACCTTGTACCTCACACCACACCTTATACATCAAAACCACACGTTGTACCTCATACCACACCTTATACCTCACACCACAACCTTATACATCATACCACACCTTGTACCTCACACCAAAACCTTATACCCCCACACCACACCTTTTTACACCACATCACGCCTTGTACCCCACACCACTCTTGTACATCTCACCACGCCTTTACATCACATCTCACACCATGTGCATCAAAACCACACCTTGTACCTCAAACCAAAACCTTATACATCACGCCACACCTTGTACCTCACAACCACCCTTGTCCCTCACACCACACCTTGTGTCTCACACCCCCTTTTGTACCTCACCCAAAACCTTGTACCTTAACCCCACCCCTTATACATCACACCACACCTTGTTCCCCAACACCACACCTACACCACACCTTGTAACCACCCCACACCTTTTCCATTACCCCCACACCTTGTTCCTAAACGCCCACCACCTTATACATCACACCACACCTTGTACCTTTCACACCACACCTTGTACCTCACACCACACCTTGTACCTCACACCACACCTTATACCTCACACCACACCTTGTACATCACACCACACCTTGTACCTCAAACCACACCTCTACATCACACCACAACTTGTACGCTCACACCACACCTTGTACACCACACCACACCTTGTACATCACAACACACATTGTACACCACACCACACCTTGTACATCACACCACACCTTGTAACATCACACCACATCTTGTACCCACACCACAAATTATACCTCACACCACACTTTGTACATCACACCACACCTTGTACCTCACACCACACACTTTATACATCACACCACACCTGTACTTCACACCACACCTTGTACCTCACACCACACCTTATACATCACACACCAACCTTGTACCTCACACACACCTTGTACCCACCACCACACCTTATACCTCACACACACACCTTGTACATCACACCACACCTTGTACTTCAAGAACCACACCTTATACATCACACCACAACTTGTACCTCACACCACACCTTGCACGCCACACCTTGTACACCACACGACACTTGTACATCACACCACACCTTGTACCTCACACCACACCTTGTACATCCACACCACACCTGTACCTCACACCGACACCTTGTACCTCACCACCACACCTTGTTACATCACACCACACCTTGTACCTCACACCACACCTTGTACACCACACCACACCTTGTGCATCACACCACACCTTGTACACCACACCACACCTTGTACCTCACACCACACCTTGTACCTCACACCACACCTTATACATCACACCACACCTTGTACATCACAACACACCTTGTACCTCACACACCTTATATATCACACCACACCTTGTACATCACACCACACCTTGTACATCACACCACACTTTGTACATCACAACACACCTTGTACTAACACCCTTGTACATCACACCACCCTTGACATCACACCACACCTTGTACCTCACACCACACCTTGTACATCACACCACACCTTGTACATCACACCACACCTTGTACACCACACCACACCTTGTACATCACACCTTGTACACTACACCACACCTTGTACCTCACACCACACCTTGTACATCACACCACACCTTGTACATCATACCACACCTTGTACCTCACACCACACCTTGTACACCACACCCCCACACCCTTGTATATCACCACACTTGTACACCACACCATACCTTGTATCATCACATCACACCTTGTACCTCACATCACACCACACCTTGTACATCACACCACACCTTGTACCTCACACACCTTGTACACACAACATCTTGTACATCACACCACACCTTGTACCTCACACCAATCCTTGTACACCACACCACACCTTGTACCTCACACCAAACCTTGTACACCACACCACACCTTGTACCTCACACCACACCTTGTACATCACCCCACACCTTGTACATCGCACACTTATACACCACACCACACCTTGTACACCACACCACATCCTTGTACCATCACACCAACCTTGCACCCACCCATCACACACCTTGTACCTCATCCTTGTTATACCCACCAACCACAACCTTATACATCACACACACAACTTGTGCACCACACCACACCTTGTACATCACACACCCTTGTACACTACACCACACCTTATACATCACACCACACCTTGTACACCACAACCACACCTTGTACATCACACACCTTATGACATCACACCACACCTTGAAGACCACACCACACCTTACACCACACCACACTTGTACTCACACCACACCTTGTACACCACACCGCACTTTGTACATCACACCACACCTTGTACTCACCACACCTTGTACATCACACCACACCCTGTACATCACACACCTTGTACATCACACCACACCTTGTACTCACCACACCTTGTACATCACACCACACCCTGTACATCACACCACGCCTTTTACATCACACGGCACCTTGTACACCACACCTTGTACATCAAAACACACCTTGTACATCACACCACACCTTGTACATCACTCCACGCCTTATACGTCACACCACACCTTGTACATCACACAACGCCTTGCACACCACACCTTGTACACCACGCCTTGTACATCACACCACACCTTGTACATCATACAACGCCTTGTACGCCACACCACGCCTTGTACATCACACCACACCTTGTACATTACACCACACCTTGTACATCACACCACACCTTGTACACCACACCACGCCTTGTACATCACACCACATCTTGTACATCACACACCTTGTACATCCCACCACACCATGTACATCACACCACACCTTGTACACCACACAACGCCTTGTACATCACACCCCACCTTGTACATCATTTCACACCTTGTACACCACATCACGCCTTGTACATCACAAACCACATCTTGTACATCTCACCACGCCTTGTACATCACACCACACCATGTGCATCACACCACGCCTTGTACATCACACCACGCCATGTACACCACACCACGCCTTGTACACCACACCAAGCCTTGTATACCACACCACGCCATGTACACTACACCACGCCTTGTACACTACACGTCTTGTACATCACACCACGCCTTGTACATCACTACGCCATGTACACCACACCACGCCTTGTATACTACACCACACCTTGTACACTAAACGCCTTATATACCACACCACACCTTGTACACCCCAACACGTACTGTACACCACACCACGTCTTGTACACAACACTCCTTGTACACCACACCACGCCTTGTACATCATACCACGCCTTGTATACCACACCACGCCTTGTACATCATTCCACGCCTTGTACACCACACCACGTCTTGTACACCACAGCACTCTTTGTACACCACACCACATCACACCTTGTACATCACTCCACACCTTGTACGCCACACCACACCTTGTGCATCATTCCACACCTTGTACACTACACCACGTCTTGTACACCACACCACGCCTTGTACAGGAGTATACCTCAGCAGGTACTGCTTATGGAATATCCCTTAGCAGGTACTGTGTATGGAGTATACCTCAGCAGGTGTTGTTTATGGAGTATCCCTCAGCAGGTATTGTGTATGGAGTATACCTCAGCAGGTACACTGTGTGGGGTATCCCTCAGCAGGTACTGTGCTGGAGTATACCTCAGCAGTTACTGTTTATGGAGTATACCTCAGCAGGTATTGTGTATGGAGTATACCTCAGCAGGTGCTGTGTGTGGTATGTCACTCAGCAGGTGCTGTGTGTGGTATGTCACTCAGCAGGTACACTGGAGTATCCCTCAGCAGGTACTCTGTGTGGAATGTTCTTCAGTAGATACAGTGTATGGAGTATCCTTCAGCAGGTACAGTGTATGGAGTATCCTTCAGCAGGTACAGTGTATGGAGTATCCGTCAGCAGGTACTGTGTATGGAGTATATCTCAGCAGGTACTGTGTACGATGTATCCCTCAGCAGGTACTGTGTACGATGTATCCCTCAGCAGGTACTGTGTATGATGTATCCCTCAGCAGGTACTGTGTACGATGGTTGTTAGGTAAGACACATATGCAACAGTTAGGTATCTTTATTATGAAACGTTTCGCCTACACAGTAGGCTTCTTCAGTCAAGTACAGAAAAGTTGATAGAAGCAGAAGATACTTGAAGACGATGTAATCAGTCCATCACCCTTAAAGTTTTGAGGTGGTCAGTCCCTCAGTCTGGAGAAGAGCATTGTTTCATACTATGGAACAATGCCTTCTCCAGACTGAGGGACTGACCACCTCAAAACTTTAAGGGTGATGGACTGATTACATCGTCTTCAAGTATCTTCTGCTTCTATCAACTTTTCTGTACTTGACTGAAGAAGCCTACTGTGTAGGCGAAACGTTTCATAATAAAGATACCTAACTGTTGCATATGTGTCTTACCTAACAACCTGTCGGTATTTTATACCATTTTAATGTTCACTGTGTACGATGTATCCCTCAGCAGGTACTGTGTGCAATGTATCCCTCAGCAGGTACTGTGTA